AAATTATTAAATACATATCTATTATGTCCAAGTACTGGTTCCAAAATTCGTTTTGTCCCAGTACTACCTCCTTTACCTTATTCGTGTTTCAGATAATTTTGTGACGAGTTATAGTTGACACCGCAAAACGAATGTTTTTTCAAAAAAAATTCTCAGAAAAGTGCTTTTTTTTTACACCCGTTAAACTCATAACCCCTTTATATTTTCTGCTGTCCTCTTTTAACGCGCGTATAATAAAAAACCGTCCCTGTTCAAGGATAAATACGAGATCTGACGTACATCGGTGGTCGATTCGAAGAAAGGGGGGCGGAAAGCAATCGAAAGTGTAACACGTGTACATCAGCGTTGTACGAGGCAAGAAATTTCGCGTTCACCTGTCGCTATATCGGCTCGTGTTCCCGGCGAAACTTTATCGGACATCTTCTCCATGTTCAATATTGACTTTGCGAAAGTGCCTCCGGATGGAAACCTTCTAATTTTCCGGGCTCCGATTCCATGATGCAATGCAAATACGCCAGGCATTCGGTGTACAGGCAGAAACGGGGCCGCCGTTCACGCAAACTTTATTTCTTTCCCAATTCCACGAGGGCTCCTCCCCCTTTTATCTCCGGCGACGAATTTGGCGATACTTTTACGAACAAACGCGATCAAGTTCTGCAATTTTATGTAGAATAAAACGCTTTTAGCAGTTAGAAACGTGTTTCGTACGTTCATATTTTCTACGCGTTTAATTTTCTGGTAGACGAGCCGTAAAAGCGCACGCGTGAATGGAGCGCAGAAGGTGGAGGGTATTAGTGAATAAATTGTTGCATAATGCGGTTCTCGGAAGCGGAAACGGGCTCTCGATTACAGTGTTCGGATGGTTCCCGGATGAGTTGCGTTACCGTGAAACAATGGACGGTCCCACGCGTTTAGAGCGACTTTATGACGCGGTTTCGCTTTAATTAAGGATTAACGTGATTATAGATGGCCATAGCATAAAAATTCTCGGACTTCTCTAATTATGACACAATGTTGAACAACGAGACGTTCCCTCTGTAATTTCCGAAACGATGCTCCGTCAGACTTGTTACTAATCATAGCACAAACGATTGCCGGTTAAACCATTTGTAAAATTTTAACGTCCAATTCATCCGGCCGTTGGGTTATAAACAAGACATTTAAGGATGTATGAGCCGTAAAATCTCTGCCAAAAGCTTAAGACATGTAATAAAAAGCAACTCTTAAAATTTCAATGCTTTTTCATTGTTTTTATGTAAGAATTTACACAACCTTAATTATTTCTGCATGAGAACACGTTTCCGGAAGCGAGTTTTCATTAAAAATATACGAGTTAACGGTCCCGTGAGTTCATTAAAATGTAAAGGGCTATTGATGGAACGAGACCCTGACCAACCCTTTCCCTTTTCTGTTTCAGCTGCTTAATTCCCTGGCGACCGATTTGGACTGCATGCTGAGCGAGCTCTGCACCACCCCGAATTCCTACGAACGGTGAGTAATCGTTTCTCGCCTTGTCCAATTCATCGAATCAATTTGTCGTTTCCGATTCACTGTCATTAAAAATGTTAGTAAAACGACTGCAAACACGCGTCGAGAAACGTTCTTTTCATCGGAGAACGAATGTTTCACAGCAAGCATAAGCGTAAAAAGGGGTCGCGACCCTATCCAGGTGACGTTGAATCGCGAGTTCCCGTAATTTACGATGAAAATCTTAACGACGCGGCGGCAGTATAATTTCCATATCGTAAGAGCCACTCCTCGGTGATCTACGGGAACTTTGGTCGCAATATGGGACACCGTGTACAACCAACGTCCCTTGAATCACCCAACTTTCGGCGTTATTGCGGTCGGCAATTTATACCGTCCGCGGAATTATCGTCGTTGAACGTTCGTCGCATGAAATGAAAATTACGTACATTTCTTTCGCGCAAACTTCGTGAAACCTCGTCGACGAAAAACGGAATGTACACAAATTGTCATGTTCTTTTAAGAATGTATTGGCTATGCAGTCAATCCCAAAAGTTTATGCACTTTAGAAATGCATTTTTTAAAAAGAAATCAGATGTCGGAAGAACATTGCTAATAATAAACAACAACAAAAAATTTTCGATTTTTCCGAGATTTTTCCAAGGGGTACCCCTTCAATTTCTTCCAAATTTTCGTTTTTGGCCAATAACTCCCAAACCGTTGGACATACGGAAAAATTGCATATGACCTTCTTTGTAGAGG